GGGCTCCCCAATCAGTGGGGAGCCTGCTTCTCCCTCTCTCTTGGCCCCTCCGCACCTCGTGCTCTCTTTCTCTGTCTCTCTCAAATAAATAAATAAAATCTTAAAAAAAAGAAATTCCTATGCATACACTATTAAACCCATTTGATACACAGAAACAAACATGCTGAGAATCTACCTCTTTACTGAAACATACAGAAATGTGCCCTACTCAAAAACGGGGGCTCCGGGGTGGCTCTGTTGGTTAAGCATCTGACTCTTGGTTTTGGCTCAGGTCATGATCTCGGGGTCAGGAGATGGAGCCCCCTGTCAGGCTCCACGCCCAGTGTGGAGCCTGCCTGAGATTCTCTCTCTCCCTCTCCCAATGCCCCTCCAGCTTGTGCATGCTCATTCTCTCTAATATAAATAAATAAATCTTTAAAACAACAACAGGGCACTGACTTTGTTCATGTGTTCACTCATTTTTTTTAAAGATTTTATTTATTTATTTGACAGAGCACAAGTAGGCAGAGCAGGCAGGCAGAGGCAGAGGGAAAAACAGACTTCCCGCGGAGCAGGGAGCCCAATGTGGGGCTCGATCCCACATGACCTGAGCCGAAGGCAGATGCTTAATGACTGAGCCACCCAGTCGTCCCTTTCTATTTGCTCATTTAACAGGCATCTGAAGTGCTCTTGATGCTGTGCTATGCACAATTAGAATCTGGCAGAAAAATACGTTGGAGAAACTGTCATGGAGACCATAACTCAGTAGAGGGACTACAAAATGGCTGCGGCTACTGGGGGCCCATTCCATGCCAAATGAGGCCAGGCCAAAGGGAGGCAAGAGCAGAGGAGGAACAGACAGTGTAGGCTGCCCAGGCGACAGTGGCTCCAGAAAAACCCATTTCCAACTGGGCTCCAGAGCAAGGCTGGCATTATAGAGTCCATCCAAGATTATGCCCACAAGGTGGCCCAAGGTGATGGGGGCCATATTTCTATATATTAATGCCCTCTGACATCTCCTCCACTTGACCCTCCTATCCTTTTTTTTTTTTTTAAAGATTTTATTTATTTATTTGAGAGAGAGAGAATGAGAGACAGCACGAGAGGGAAGAGGGTCAGAGTGAGAAGCAGACCCCCCGCTGAGCAGGGAGCCCGATGCGGGACTCGATCCCGGGACTCCAGGATCATGACCTGAGCCGAAGGCAGTCGCTTAACCAACTGAGCCACCCAGGCGCCCTTGACCCTCCTATCCTTAAACCAAACCTTCAATCAGAGGGGAAAAAGAGACTGTTTTAGTATATCGAGCAATTAATTTCATAATAAAAAAAAAACCCTGGGGTGCCTGGCTGGCTCAGTCAGAGGAGCATGTGACTCTCGGGGTCAGGGATCATGAGTTTGAGCCCCATGTTGGGTGTAGAGATTACTAAAAAAAAAAATAATAAACTTAAAAAAAAAAAACCCATAGGGGCACCCGGGTGGCTCAATCGGTTAAGCGTCTGCCTTCAGCTCAGGTCATGATCCCAGGGTCCTGGGATCGAGTCCTGCATCAGACTCTCTGCTCAGTGGGGAGCCTGCCTCTCCCCCTGCTTGTGCTCTCTCTCTCTCAAATAAATAAAATCTTTTTAAAAAACAACAAAAAACAGGGGCACCTGGGTGGCTCAAGTTAAGCGTCTGCCTTTGGCTCAGGTCATGATCCTAGGGTCCTGGGATCAAGTCCCACAACAGGCTCTCTGCTCAGCAAGGAACCTGCTTTTCCCTTTCCTTCTGCCCGCTGCCCCCCTGCTTGTGTTCTCTCTTTCTCTGTCAAATACATGAATGAAATCTTTAAAAAACAAAAAAAGAAAACAACCCCACAACATAACAACTCGTTATGCCATTAAGATATTAAACTCCAGTGGGAGAAGCTATTTTTTTAATAGTAAAATATTTTAGGAAAGTTACCACTGCAGCCCCTTCCCTTCGGTTTACCCTTAGTGAGCATCTACTATGTGCTAAGCTTTGGACTAGACTTCCTGCTTTGTCTCTCTCCTCCCACCTTTAATATTCTTTAATGGTTTTGCCAGCTCTTGGATGTGGGTCTAGCTGATGAACTGCACCCGGTAGCTGTTGCTGCTGCTAAGCCTGGTAACAAGATGAAGAAATGTCGGTATCTTGACCACAGAGCATCAGTGTCCAGCTGCCTCTGTCCCCGACTCTCTAGGGACAGTGTTGCCCCGGTTGTGGGGGAAACTGAACATGGTAAAATTCCTGAAGTCTAAAGTAAATATTCAATAGGAGCAGGTTGGATTTTTAAACGGGTTTCCCTCAAAGATGTCTAAGGGGTTATTCATCCTCTGAAACCTCTTTAGAGTTAAAAAAGATGATCTGACAAGGAAGGCCTGGGCATTGTGGCTTTTAACTAGAACATAAGAGTTGCTGGTGCCCTGAATACTGCCTTGATATTTTAGCCTGTAGAGTTAAGGAAAATTTAGACAAACTGGGTCTAAAGTCACCAAAACTCAATACTACCAGATCTGCATCCCATTTCCATGACTGCACTCACAATACATACCATGGAACAAAGCTAACTAACTCACCCTGGATTTTGGTTTTCACCAATACCCTCAATATAACTTACGATTTTCTCTGGTCTCAAATGGTAATCTTTTGACCTACAAATTAGATATCACTGCCTGAACAAATGAAAAAGTATTTCAAATTAACACAGGTAAGAATCTGGCTTAAATTAAAAGCCTCTCCATCGACACCAAATTCCATAAAACCCATCTCTTCAAAATAGTACCATCAAAAAAATATATCCTTAGAGGTTAGAAATTCCTTGAGAATATTCACTCAGAAATTTCAATTTGTGCCATATCTGCAAGGTATATGTTTGCATGCAGTTCTTCTCTAACCTTTTCACCCTTCTTAGCTCAGTGAAACTTTTTTCAAAATTGTTCTTATTTCCCAGGTTTTAGCACCAAAAGAAAACTGTTCTCATTTGCTTCAATCTTTAGACAAATGTCCGGTTTCCTCCAGCCCTCCACTATAATGTGAGTATTCTAAGCAATGTTTTCAGGCTGACACATGAAAGTATTTCAGAAAATTAAAAGGTAGGGCTGCCACTGTCTACAGTGCTTTACCCAGGCTAAAACAACAGGAGAACCAGGCACTTGGACTTTAAAAGTTCTCTCCCTGTGGGGCACCTGGGTGGCTCATTCAGTTAGAGTCCGACTATTGGTTGAATCTTGGTTTCCGCTCAGGTCATGATCTCAGGATTGTGAGATGGAGCCCCACATTGGGCTCCAAACTCAGCAGGGAGTCTGCTTGAGATTCTTTCTCACTCTCCCCCTCCTCCTGTTCACATGTTCTCTCAAATAAAGCCTTTATGGGGGCGCCTGGGTGGCTCAGTCGTTAAGTGTCTGCCTTCGGCTCAGGTCATGATCCCAGGGTCCTGGGATCGAGCCCCACATCGGGCTCCCTGCTCTGTGGGAAGCCTGCTTCTCCCTCTCCCACTCCCCTGCTTGTGTTCCCTCTCTCACTGTGTCTCTCTCTGTCAAATAAATAAAATCTTTAAAAAAATAAAAAAAATAAAGCCTTTATGGGGCGCCTGGGTGGCTTGGTCAGTTGGGCATCTGCCTTCAGCTCGGGTCATGATCCTGGAATCCCAGGATCCCTGGATCAAGCCCCTCGTCGGGCTCTCTGCTCAGCAGGGAGTCTGCTTCTCCCTCTGACCTTCCCCCCTCTCGGGCTCTCTCTCAAATGAGTAAATAAAATCTTTTAAAAAATAGGAAATAAAAGCTATCTCCTTGCATCAGTCTTGGTGTAAATGAACAGACATTACTCATATAGTGTGTTCTCTGTGTAAGGGGTAATTCCCTTACCCCAAGGCCTGAGTATTTATAAATCCACTTTTTTTGTGGATTTAGCTAAGAACTCATGCCTGGTTTTAAATATTTAAAATAACAATAGAGGGGCACCTGGGTGGCTCAGTCCTTGGGGACTTAAGCTCTGGACTTGATCTCAGCATCCTGAGATCAAGGCCCCCCCCCCCCAGTCAGGCTCTGGCACTCAGTGGGAAGTCTGCTTTTCCCTTTCCCTCTGCTCCCCCCCTGCTCTCTCTCTCAAATGAATAAAATCTTTAAAAAAATTAAAAATTAAAAATAAGAATATAGTCTAATCCTCTCCTAACCTAGGTCTTCCATGTGTTAATGTGCATACTTCCCAGATTTGACCCAGCCCCAACATGACTCCACCCAGAAATGCTCCCTAAATGACACAGGTTAGAAGGAGTTGAACTTTGGGGCACCTGGGTGGCTCAGTTGGTTAAGCGACTGCCTTTGGCTCAGGTCATGATCTTGGAGTCCCGGGATCGAGTCCAGCATCGGGCTCCCTGCTCGGCAGGGAGTCTGCTTCTCCCTCTG